TCGCCGTCTTTTTTTTACCGACCTCAAAAAAAGTTATCGTGCAATTAATTGATTTATTGTCTATCGCGACAGGCCTATCCCCAACCCAGCCAAACATACAAACAACCCCTGTCCTCCTTTCTGACTGAGGGCTGAAGTCATTTGTCAAGCGCTAAAAACATCTTCTCGTGGATGAAGAAAAAGACACGAAAGTTGTATCTAGTTTGGCGGTGATGGAGACCGTGAGATCTAGGGGTCGACAGATACATCGGCTGGCCGATATTTTTGGCCGATATTTACGTTTTTTTCCTTATATCGGTATCGGCCGATACGTCCGTCCGTTAGGCTGATCCGTTCTTTGGGTCACACGAGCGCACGTTGCCGCCCCCTCCCTCGAGGAGAGAGCGGCTGCTAATGTTGTGAGACAGATTGCTAACAACAATAAGGGTGAGTTATGAACTATAAATGTGTTTTAACTGTCTAATTTAGTTGTTTCTGCCCTGTGTGTCGGACTATGAGTGGCAGAGAGAACAGCTGTGTTTAAGTTTCACTTTGAACGGGAGCGCAGTGAGCGCCATGTCTTTCCTTTCGGTTTGAAACCGCACTGTAATTAGCGTTGCTTTTCTTTTTTAAAAATTGCTGGAACTGCTCACAGGAGGCATAGAAGAACACCTCTGTTGTTCTCCCTGCTGGATTAAAATAAAAAGCTCTTGGTCTTTTCTTGCCGTTACATTCATAAGATTGAAAACGCTGCCGTCCATGTAAACATGCGAACCAGGCAGACGCTACTTATATCACGTTAGCTCTGACTGCAGTATAAAAGTCATGATGCAGGTTTCCTTCAGTGTACATTTCAAACTGTGCTCTAAACTTAACTTCAGCTGGGTTAAGTGCATTTTTTGCCCGGTTTAAAAAAAAAAAAACAGGTGCAGACTGAGGCGGACTGTGAGAGCTGCGCACGCATGTGTGTGTGAAGTCCTCACAAAGATAGCAAGATGTATGTGTGTGACTCTCCTTTTTCTCTGCGTTTCTCTTCAGGCATGTTGCTGTTTTTGCATCAAAAATGCTGGGATATTAAAACATAGTCATTTATTTTATGTAAAAAATATATTAATCTGATTAATATACAAATAAAAACAGAATATTTAGCACTAGATAAAATAAAT